AAGGTCTAAATTGTGCTTCCAGGCATGCCCACACACTGCCAGGGTTAAAAATTCAAGTTGATTCTAAATACAAGCCAAGAAACTGATATGAACGGAATACTGTGCAAGTTTATATCTGGAATTTAAATGCAGTTGCTCATCCCGCTAAATGGAAAAAAAGGAAGAAAGTTTAAGGACACAACCTCAGTGTCACTGCTGGTAGAGGACCCTGACTGTGAGTGAAAGCTGGATTTCTATTATGAAAGACGAAAAACTCTAAATGTTGTCAGCATTAACGACTCTCGCTAATTTCTCCTTGACTTTTTCCCTTCATCACATTGAATTTATTTACTTTTAATTTACTAGAAAATGTGTTGCAGATGTGCTGCACAACATTTCACATCTGTAAAGGTGCAGAAGTATTAACGGCAACCTGTAGAACATTTAGTAACTATACTATACTTTATAACCGTAGCTGTAAAATAAATGTAATGGAGTGAAAAACTACAATATTTGCCCCTGTAATGTGGTGCTTTAATAAAGGAACACTATATGGTAGTGCTTACTTTAAGGACCTTGAATTTATATTAGAACAGATGCACTCTACCACTGTATTCCTACTTCTTACTCCTTGAGTATTTGTTTTTTATTACATTTAAGAGCACAGTGGTCTGCGACATGTTGCTGAAAATACACTTTTTTTGTGTGTTTGAAGTGTATTTGTGAGAGTAATTTACAACAATGATAAAAACTCCACTTTAATTTGAAGCTCCTTGTATTTCAGAGAAAATCCTTTTACCGTCTTTCATATAACAAATCCTGCTTTCATTCACAGTGAGACCAGCAGGATCATTGAGATCATGTCCTTCGAAGGCTTTCTGAAGCATTTGAGGGTTCAGCGACCTTGCAGGAGTTTAAAATCTGGCCGTAAACTCGCAAAATGTTCAGCTGACGTCAGTTTCTCTGGCTTGTTTTTACAGTGCATCAGCTTGAATGTTAATCCTGCGAGCGGCGTGCAGGAAGTCTCTGTGTTGGGAATGTTAAGGAGTGTTGCAAAAGATGTTGCGCTGACTCGTGAACTCGCTGCCTCCCCACGCGCTGTCATGCAAAAGGCCTGTACTGTAAAAGAGCCATTTTTCCTGCAGGGCTTCTCTCGTAAATCATTTTGTGATGTTTATCACCCTCAGCAGGACGGATGATTTACACTGGTGGTCAGACAAAGTGCACCACCCAGGATTACATTTCTAACCCTTTGTTCGTGATGGTACGTTACCAAAAGAAATATAAACAAAAGATACACAGTAAATGGTAATATCCCAGCAGCTGTGGCATCCAAAAATATGATGAATGGGATTATTTCATAATTTTTTTTTTTTATAGCCTTATTTATTTATTTTTTTTTTACAAGATTATGTGTCGGTATTTTTTCCCTCCATGTTTATGTTTACTTTAATTAAATGTCCTGTGTGTGTGTATATACAGTTAGATGGACATATAGATAGACAGATAGATTGATAGGTATAATGATAAAAAATATATTTTAACAGATAATCAGTGCTTACAGATAATAGGAACAGATGAAAGCACATTATTCAACATTTTTGTTGTAAAAAAGAAAAAAAAGAGGATATATTCCTGCAGCTGGAGTGCCAAAGTATACCGTAAAATAACCAACTAAATACATAAATAAATAAAAACAGGCAACTTTCCATAATCCAAATACATTTTTAGCCATAATTTTACATGAGATCTTTTCTATTTAAAAAAACCCAAAAAACTTAATTGTATCATAAAAAGCAAAAAAACAACAACAAAAAAACCCCAAAAAACAAAACAAAAAACAACTAAAAAAACAGCTTAATCTATTCACCCTAAAGAAATAAATTATTCGAAATTCGCAAAGGTATTTTATCGGGTAAAAAATATATAATTTTCTTTAAAAGAAGTAAACTCTACAGTCATTCACAATTACAGGTTGCTAATGTTATTTGACATTAAACGTGCAAATTCAACTTATTTCTGGAATGTATTTGATATTGTCATGTATTTGAAAATACAAAAAAATATCCATGAATTAAAAAGGAAGACACCAGATTTTTTAAAACAGTGTATTAATTATTATTTGAGGCAAAGCAGAACTAAAATTTGGGGCTCTCTTAAAAAAAAAAAAAAAAAAAAAAAAAATCGAAATTCACCATTTCCAACAGTTGTGCTAAACGTGTCATTTACAGCTGATGTTACCAGAAACTCCCTGGTTGCTGCAGTTTATCATTTTAAAACAAAATGAAACATCGCCAGGTGCCATCTGACACAAGCTTGTGACGACTGAAACTCCTGCAGAGCGTAAAGTCACAGCTGATGCTGCTGCATTCAGTTCCATTACATAACCACTGCTGTTGTTACATCATCACCGACGCGTTTAGGCCGCATATGATGCAATCTGTAGGAAATATTGTCATATACTTGGACGACAATATTACGCGTTGATGCACTTTATTTGAACACCAATTACTCTGATAAACGTTTAACAAAAGGTGGACAAATTTGTGTAGCAGGGGTCGAGACAGTAGGACAGCTCCCTCCAGAGTCACAGAGAACAATATACAGATGTGTTCACTTTAGTTTTATTCATATTGGGCCAAATCTATCATTTCAGGGCAAAGGTTGAGCTCCATGGAGTCCCCTCTTTGACCCCTCTGTTATCATTTATATCAGTCTGCTGGTACATTTATGGGTGTGAAAGCCATCCATCCATTATCTACACACCGCTTAATCCTCACTAGGGTCGCGGGGGGCTGGAGTCTATCCCAGCTGACTCAGGGTGAAGGCAGGAGACACCCTGGACAGGTCACCAGTCTATCACAGGGCTACACTTAGAGACAGACAACCAAGCACACTCACATTCACACCTACAGACAATTTAGAATCACCAATTAACCTCAGCATGTTTTTTTGGACTGTGGGAGGAAGAACATGCAAACTCCACACAGAAAGATTCCGGTGCCCCCACCGGGACGCGAACCAGCAACCTTCTTGCTGCGAGGCAACAGTGCTAACCAACTGCGCCACCTTGCAGCCCGTGTGAAAGCCAATTTTTGAATATCTTCAGTGAACGAAGAACCAACTTGGCTCAAAATAGTGTCTATTTAATTAAGTTTGCTGATTGGAGTCAGTATAAAAGTCATTAAAGCACTTTGATTTCCCAGAAAGAAGCTTCCTTTGGCTGCTGCGTGGGGCATTTTTTCCAGCTTAGAAGTAGGTGAATTTAAATATACTGAGTCTAAAAAGGGCAGAAACAGCCTATAAAACATCCACTGAGTGACTGAGAGAGGTTAGTTCGCTCTCCAGCATTGCTAGAATCCTGAAGCGAAGGCCCTCTATTCTTCATATCTGCTCCAAACACTGATTCATCCCGTCATTAACTGAGCAAACGAAGGCGACAAAAGGACAGTTCCCACGTGAATCACGTTTGCATATTGAGAGAAAAAGCTCCCCGCTTGTGTTAAAGTGACGCATTCTGCTGCATGTGCCAGATTTCTGCGACAGCGCGTCCGAGCAGATTTGATTCGTGTTAAATTAGTCTGACTGTTTGGCCTCCAGACGCGCATCAGAAGCCGTTTGTGCAGATGTTACGCAGCGTGTCGGAGGACAGAATGTAACTGTAAGCTCCCTGTTCCTCAGACCTGCCAACGCCGTTTCACCTCAAGTGAATTTAAATGCGAGTGACTCAGCTTGTCTGTCGTTTGAAGAAATAAATAGCTTCCTAAGAAATGTGTGATAATTATTATGAAGTGAAGAAAGAGCAGTTTTAGCAGCGTGAGCTCAAAATGAAATCCAGGAGCAGGTCATCTGTCCAGGCTGCAGTTTAGGAAATTAATTACCGCGTTAGAATATTTAAACACAAGGTCGGAATGTGGTTAAGCTTGTAATCACAAAGCACAAATGCATATACTCAGAGTAGAAAGGGGGTTTTCAGAAAAGCTTATCTGCAGCATGAGAAATTATTGCCTAAAGGGAAATAATACGACATTTTGGAAAATTAGCTTCTTGGCTTTCTTGCAACATTTCTTGAACATTGATGCTACTCTCACATCTGTCTCTAATTTACAACTAGCTTAGCCTAGCGCACAGCTGGACGACTCAAGGGTGACAAAATCTTCCCACTAGCACCGTCTAAGACAATCCAAAGGCCCATTGATGTTTTCTGCTTATACATGGTGGTTACACACGACCTAAAATTCATCATCCACCCTCGTAAACAATCTCTGCGTGGACAAGCGACTGCACATGTGCCAGGAAGCAAATGGTCTTTAAAACAAATGTCTGTCATGACGAGAGACGCTGCAGGGCCACTCTCACTCATTCACATCTTTTAATTCATTATTCAAACGGCTAGAATTGAAGAAGTTGCTGCAGTTTTTTTTTTTTTGGAGGCGCTTTGTACACGCTTTCCATCAGCGAGGCTCGAACGCAGTGGGAAGCTCTGAATTCTCCAGAAGCCCTGCGCTACGTCCACCCACTGCGCTCCACACATCCCAGGAATAATCACACTGACATGCTTTTGCGGTCCAATTTGCAATTAGACACTATATCCTGTAAAAAGTCACACAGTCGCAGCCAACCTTTCAGTAACATTCGCAGAAGCCTCGAGTGTTTCTCTGTATTCGATGTGAGGGGCAACGGAACAGTCTGTGCAGCAAAGCGAACGTGTACCTACTGAATTATGAACAGAGCTGATTTCAAAGTCTGAAGGAACCACGAATTAGCCTTAAAGCTCACTGATTAACATGTTGTGTGTAACTGCTTTATTCCGTGCGAGTACCAAATAGCACAAACTGTGGTGTCTACAGGGAGTTCGGTACCCAACTATTTCCTGGCTTCAACCGGCTGAGACTCCTGGATGCTGCTGCTTTCAGCCAAGAAATAATCCCACATAAAACCACAAACTGTTGTTGTTACTCGCTGGTGTAGTCGATGGAGTGTTCATTAATAATTATTTCAATAAGCCAAACATGACAGAATTTGAGTCCATCAGTTTAATCATGCTTCTATGTTACAATAGGATCTCCAAACGCACAGTTTTTCTCAACACCCAGGTTAAAGAAGTTGCCTTTTCCTCCTTTGTAAGCACTGGTGACTAATCTGGCCCAACCGTGTTCTCCCTGAAAGCAAGAAAACAGCGTTGTTCATTTTGTATGCACGAAGCACAATGTCTGAGAAAATGCTTTTACAAAAAAAGACTTTCTTCCTCAGCACAAGCAAATCTAAATCGACAGGTTACTTCTTGCCACGATTTGGACAATTTTTTAGCTACAAAGCTGATATATGTTAGACTGAGAAAACCAACCCAGAACTCTCCCCAGGAGTTCCTGACGATCCAGTACTCCACCCCGTCTGCGTCCACGCCCCATCCGGCCACGGACACGATGTGATTTGGCAGAGAAAGAGGGTGAAACTCGGAGAAAATCCCTCCGGAGTATTGCTCCAGGCCGCCAGTCGCCATCAGGGCACAGCTGAAACACAGAGACGAGTGTTTCTGGCTGTCTGACGTCCTTTTCTTTGATGGCGATCATGCGGCGATCAATTTTGAAAACAACCTTTCATGTGGGATCAAACAAGGGCCCAGATCGCCCGTGCATTGGCTGCATTTGTACAGGCAACAAACGTCTAGCAGCTTTTTCTAACCTGATTATCTTATTTGGATATTGTTAAATCTTTCTGACACGTTAATGAAACAGAATTTCTCGTGCAGTGTTTTATTTTACTGGGTTACAAAGTGCGATACACGCCTGGAGGCTCTTCTTCAACTTCAATGAAGCCTTTATGTTTCCAGTGACAAGTTTAATCTGCCTTACCTGCAGATATTACAGAAGTAACCTGAGAAGTTCTCGAGATGTTTAAAATAAATACTTCATGAGTTAATTTTAAAGACAGCATAAAACTGTCGAAACCAGAGCTTCACTAAAAAGACTAACAGCAAACGTAAAACGAGAGCAGTGAAATTGTTATGAGAAATAAAGCTGTGTGTGTTAAAGCAGGTTCAAGAAGAAAAATATCACATGTAAACCCAGATATAGATCTGTACACAAGAGATTTCCCAAACTTAAAGGCTTTGATTTGACTTTATTTTGAGACTTTTCTGAGTGAAATCCAGCTCTACTCTGCTGCCGGCTCTCTTAAAGGTTTTAGGAATGATTAAATATGTATCTACTAATGAAAACTTCACTGAGATGAAGAATCGCTCTGCAAAGTTCAGGCTGAATCTCCTCCTTCACACTGAGGATGTAGGTGGATGAATAATTAGAGGCGACTTGGGAAGATGACTTAACTCTACCTGATGGGACCGTTGGTGAAAATCTCAGCTTTTATCTGGTCTCTTCCAGAAACTTCTCCGTAGTCTCCCACTTTCCAGACGGTGTAGTTCTTCACAACGGCGCAGGATTGAAAGAAGGAGCACGTGCCACACTGGTTGAACAGCTCGCACTCTGAAACAAGTGAAGGCAGTTAGTTAGACTGATTTACATTCAGTTGATCGCTCAGTTTTAAATATATGTTCTGGGTTTTTGTTCTGGCTCAGAAATCTGTGTGATTTTCTGTTATTTCTGACCGATTATAATTCTATCACGCCTGATTAAATTAAACCCTAATTACTAAAACTTGTTAATTTTTTCCCCTCAATTAGTATTTTGGTGTTAATTACAAGCGCTCTGGGTGGAGCCAAAAATGTTCTATGTAGGGAAAACCTTGTCTTTTAATGAAGTTGTGTAAACTAACACTGCTACTGTGTTGTAACTGAATCATGTAAAATAACGTTTACAACTAGTTCAGCTACATGTAATAAAAAATTAAACAATATAATGAAAACCATTGCACAAGACTGCAGGTAGCTTCAAGTTGACAATATAAAGGAATTTAGCAACTGTCCAGACTTAAATCTATTTTTTTTCTACTACATGGTTCTACGCTACGATAAACGGCAAAAATGTGTGGACGCTAAACTACTGACATCTGATTCGGATGCCTCCGGAGAGGCTTCCTCCGGAGGTCTTCCAAACACCTGGGAGGAGACCTTGGGGCAGACCCAGAACCCACTGGAGAGATTATATCTCTCAGCTGGCCTGGGAACGCCTCAGGATCCCCCCAGGAAGAGCTGGAAAGCGTTTGCTGGGGGGAGGGAAGTCCGGAATGACCTGCTCCGCCTACTGCCCCCGTGACCCGACCCCGGATAAGTGGAAGACAATAGATGGATAAACTACTGCAGCCATGCATGAAGATTGAACATTAGGGCTCCAACCAATGATAATTTTCATTGTTAATTAATAAGTTGAATATTTTATAGATTTTTCAATTCATTGTTCTGTCTATAAATTGCACAAAATGGTCAAAAATGTCAGTGAGTGTTTCCCAAGGCACAAGGTGGCATCCCAAAATGTCTTACTTTGTTCACAACCCAAATATATTGACTTCAGAAATGTAAAGAAACTAACCATCCATCCATCCATCCATCCATCCATCCATCCATCCATCCATCCATCCATTATCTACAAACCGCTTAATCCTCACTCGGGTCGTAGGGTGCTGGAGTCTATCACAGGGCTACACTTAGAGACAGACAACCAAGCACACTCACATTCACACCTATAGACAGTTTAGAATCACCAATTAACCTCAACATGTTTTTAGACCTTGTGGGAGGAAGCCGGAGAACACGGAGAGAACCCACGCTGCACGGGGAGAACATGGAGACTCCACGCAGAAACGCGAACCGGTGACCTTCTTGCTGCGAGGCAACTGTGCTAACCACCGATCCACCTTGCAGCCCAGAAACTAACTAGAAAACATATCAATTCAAGAAGCTGGGAACAGAATTCAGACTCTTCTAAATAAAATACTCAAACTGATTAATCCATTATCAAAATAGCTGCCAATTAATTTAATGGTTGACAAATGACTGATTATCTGATTGATCATTGCAGCTCAGTTGAACATCTCTCTTGAAACACTAATCAGCTGCTACAACAGCTTCTGCTCTTCTGGTTGCCACTTGATTTTAGAGTTTGGCTGCAGGATTTTCTCCTCCTCAGCCACAAGAGCTCAGTGTTGGCGGTCCAGTTGATAGGTGTTGGATGTGCTTGAGGCCACAGCTCTTTGCAGGCCAGACAACAAACTGGGAGGACCTCCATTTATTTACAGTTTTGAATTTGTGCGTGGGGCCTTGTTGTGTTCAAACACGTCAGCGAATTCTCCAAACTGTTGCTGCAAAGTTTGCAAAACACCTGCTTTCGATATGATTTTTTTTACCTAGTTAAGAAGTCTATATGGTGTTTTTGATATGGTGGAAGACATATTGTGAGTAAAATAAGCAGTTAGTGCCATGGCTAAGCAGTGTCACCTTGAAACTGTAGCGAACTCACAGTCCCAAAAACAACATTTTCATTTGTAACAATCCTAAAGAACGAATCTGGTCAACATGCAGGCTGAGGCTTTATGTATCAATGTTCTTCTTCAGAATCAGTTTCCAGTTCAAACACCTTTTGCGCAACAACTTTCTATTGTGTAGCACAGAGCAGTTTAGCAAGTTTGAGCAGAAGCCAAAAAACTTCTACATTTGTAACTTGGATGCACAAAAATTAGTTTTGAGGGGTTGAATGAACAACAAGAGAGGGACACTAAGATTCCCCTTAACCCTTCTATTATCTTTGGAGTCAATTCGACATCATTCAATGTTTCACATCTCTACATAAGTCATTGACATTATTTTATCAGTTTTCTTTCAAAGGCTATTTACAGATAAACTTGGGTAACAATTTTAACTATGATATTTTCTGGAGGTTTAAATTGCTGGGCTCAAGTTGAACCCAAGGACAAAAGATGTCAGTAAATTTGAAGGTGATAGGAGGGTTACATAGAGCTGGCTCTTATCTTTCTAGAAAATTCATTTAAATTTAATTACATGAAAGTAGGGCTGCAAGGTGACTCGGTGGTTAGCACTGTTGCCTCGCAGCAAGAGGGCCACCGGTTCGCATCCCGGTGAGGACACCTGGATCTTTCTGCGTGGAGTCTCCATGTTCTCCCCGTGCAGTGTGGGTTCTGTCCGGGTTCTCCGGCTTCCTCCCACACAGTCCAAAAACATGTTGAGGTTAATTGGTGATTCTAAATTGTGTGAATGTGAGTGTGCTTGGTTGTCTGTCTCTAAGTGTAGCCCTGTGATAGACTGGTGACCTGTCCAGGGTGTCCCCTGCCTTCACCCTGAGTCAGCTGGGATAGACTCCAGCCCCCCCACGACCCTAGTGAGGATTAAGCGGTGTATAGATAATGGATGGATGAAAGTAAGTTAATTTTCTTTTCCTTAGAAAAATGCACAGCCTCAATGAATCTCTGAACACATACTTTAACGGCCCCAAAACAAGATAGATATTTGTTTTACTTTGGTTCTTGGCTTGGTAGTTGTTGCAGGTTTCATCAGGAATGCCTTTCTCGTGTGCGTAAGCGTAGACTCTCAGGTGATCTCCTCCGTAACAAGAGCCCGCCTTCCCGCAGTCTATCACGTTCTGGACGGACAGGTACGCCGACGGCCACACTCCTCCGCGCTTGATGTTGATACGATCTTAAACAAAAGCACAAGAATAACAAATATTACGAAAAATGGTGAAGCTTGAATCTGTTCTTCCTCCTGCTCGGCATTCTCACTATGTCACTAACCGCTTGTAACAATACATACATTTTAAATCCACATGATAATATTCATTACATCCATCCCTCTATTCTAGTGTAGCTTCATCCCACCTCCATCCCTCTGTTGTCATGGTTACCAGCTAGTGCACTGGTGGCTCCCATTGCCCAGCAGGAGCCACAGTACTGGGGGATGTGTTGGTTCCTCGTCACGCTCACATAATTCTTCCCATCGATGTTCCTCCAGTCCCACGACGGAGGAAGGTCCGACACCTTCACATACTCCCGCGGCCGGGCCTGTGTCCTGAAACGAGTGAAGGATGAGGGGATGTGTATCAGTCATCATTACAGCACCTCCACACTTATGGCTCGCCCACATAGGTGTTTTCACTTGTTGACTAATTATATCTCCTCTCAGGACTGCGTAGGAAGCGCGCTGGCTACGATTGAATGTCAGCTCCCGCAATATCATGTGGGTGCTACAAACTGAAACTGTGTGGTGATTCCCATCATTTCTACGCACAGCCCACAGCCTGAGCAAGTGAACACACTGTCGTTTGTGTTAATACTATCCAGAGAAATCAGAACAATCAACCCGCTTACCAAAACACCTGCAATAATCTTGTAGTACACATTAAAAAATATATATTAAATCATATTTAATTTGACATTTCCAAGAGGGAGTTTCTGCTAAAAACCTGCACATTTAAATGAACAAAGCACAAAGTAATATTAAAGTAAACGCTGCGATGTAAATTTAATTAAATTACCTTCTTTCAGTTGGGTACTTTTAATTGTCAAATTTAGTACAATTACAGATAATCACACAGGGATCATACAAAGAGCTTTTCATCAACCTAATGGGTTTTTCTACATTAATAATAATCACTCTGTAAGCCATGTAGAAAAGGCCCAAAACATCTTAATTTGTTGCCTGTGTGACTCAGTAAATCATTTGAAAGCCTCAGGGAAACTCCTACGTTTGTGAAGTTTGCTGCATTTTTATTAAGGAGCTAATTGTTTAATGGAGAGCATTGGGGGCATTTTACTGATAAAGTACTGCCACGGTTCATTTGTCTCAACCGTGTCCCTCGTTTTTTTTTTCTTTGTTCTCTCCTTGTGTTTCTAAGGCTGTGTTTTGAATCACACACTTTTTCTTTTTCACTTGTACAAGTACGTACTACAGCTGCCTCCACAGTGCAGCCATGCAGTGTGCATACAAATGGGACAAACTACTTTGTCATAATATTGCGTCTTAAACCGCTGCAGTCTGTGGTGCGAAATGGGCTGTCGTCTGTTTGTGTGCTCAAGCTTGTACTTGTGCACGACAACCGCAACGTATGTGATGTAGCTGTGCAAAGACCTGGGGGTCATAATGGCCAAAAGAAATCATGCTGACTTGCATACTGCAAAAAACAACTGGATGTAGTGGGACGTCCAGGTGTTCTACATTTGACATACTATGTACATAACCTTTTTCTGGCATACTTTAGAAGAGAATAGAATAGAATAGAACTTTATTGATCTTGATAGTACGGAAGTATGGATACTGGAAAACGGCCTGAATGTTTCATATTTTACAGTGTTTCCTGTGCTTCCCTTCATTTGTTTACACTGTGATTTTAAATTAAAAAAAAAAAAAAAAAGAAGCAAAAAACTGTTTTTTACCTGTCATTTTATTAAATTACAGACGGTAACTAGTAAAATCATAGAACTTTTTTTTTGTTTACATGTTAACTGTAAAAGAACAGGCCACACATGTAAATCATCTCCACACAAAAAAATTATAAATGGTAATTCACACTTTTACAACAGTTGACTGTAAAATGACACTTTTTTTAACTTTTTGAAAAAAAAAAAGTTTTATCTCATTAAAAAGTATTGTCATTTTACAGATATTTTCTGTTGAAAGAAAAATTATGTATATTACGGACTGAGAAATTACTTTTTTTTTTCAAACTACTACAGCTTTTACTTGTTTTGTTAAATTATAGACAGATAATATCTAGTAAAATTGTATAAGTAAAATAAATTTGCATGTTTACTATTTAAAAACTATAACCACATATATAAAAAAAAAAATCACAAATAGTAATTTGTTGGTTTACAATGTGTGACTACAATTACAGTTTTATTTAAGTCAGCGAAACATAAAATTATTTTACAGATATGTGCTGTTATTTTGACCTTTTTATTTTTTACAATAACTTTCTAAGGCTCAAGTTGACACAATAACCCATGTTTCATTCTTCATTCCCACCCCATTAATTACCTCACAAACCATTAGATTATATTTATTTTATAGGCAGTAATTGAAAGTGGCTCCACCTTTGAGCAGTCAAAGATAATAGGTAATATAGTTATTACAATCATAACTATAATAACTACATCTAAAGTATACATAGACAGACTTTATCGCTGACACAGGGCATTATTTCTTTGAATTAGCACTTTTACCTTTAATATTTTAGATAAGTTTTATTGAGAAAGTTTTGGGTTTTTTTTTTTTTTTTTTTTTCACTTAAGTGGGACTTTGAATGTAAGGCTACATATTCGTAGTGCAGTCTTTGTGCTTCTCACTGATGTGCTCCGGACCTTAATATGTAAAGTTAAATCTTTACTGTATTGATCTTATACAATAAAGTTATTGCTATTGATCTTCACCTGAGGATATATTGAGGCCAGGTGAATTAGTATTTCATATATCCAAATATAAATATCTATACTTGTTTAGTAGATGTATAATGTCAGTTTAATGGAAAGCACTTTGACTCAACATTTGCTGTCTAAATATAAATAAAGCAGGTTACATGTGAGCTATTGTAGTCTTTGCTCCCACATTTTACTGCATGTACACAATTAAAGTGACATTAAGATTGATTTGGTTTTCAAGTGAGTTAATAATACAAGACATTGCACAAAAAGAATATATAAACAATACAATATAGTAAAAAAGTAGTAATGCAAAGAGGACAAATCCAAGCTAACAGAGCTGGAAACTCATGCTAACTGACTGTTAATTACAATGTAAATACAAAGTTTACGTTATTATTCCAACATCACGATGAGTTTTTCAAATAATCCCACAACTGAGTACTATTTAAACTTCACTCCGGAGTAATTAAGGACTATTAAACCAGCGTTTTTTATACTTCCAATACTAATTTCTTCACTATGTAGTCCAAGTGTGAGGAGTAGCGTTAGCGTTACTTTTCTTCGAGGTAAACAACCAACTGAAACCATGAACCCGAGTCACTGTCAGCGGTTAAAACGAGCCTGTCCTCGTCTCTTACCTGACAAAGTCCGGCCTGTGGTCCCTGATGGGTTTGTAACAAGGCTCATACAGCAGTGTGGCGCAGATAATTTGCAGAGGAAATGATGATAAACAAAACAGTAGCAGCATCATGTCTGGAGACGCCATCTTGGCTCCTCCTCCTCCTCCTCTGACGCAGGGACGCAATCCCAGCGCGTCCCCTGTCGGCGGGAACGCGCACGGCAGTTTAACAAGCAGGACGCTGTTGCACTGATGTTAAAGTTATGCGACTTTTATTTTACATCCTAAGGAGCGTTTTAAGGCGAGACAGTACAGGGAAAACATTTCTTTCTCATTCATTGGTAAAAGTTGTGATCTTTTCCTTATCATAATATGTGTTCTTTTAGTCTAATGGAAAGAAAACACTCCAAATACACATTAAGATGTTTATTTTACTACACTGTATTTATTTGTACCAGAAGATTTCAGTCATAATGCATGTATTTAAAGCAGTTGCATTGTTACACCTGGCTGTCCGGAGCTTAATTTATTTATTTTTATTATTATTATTGAATTATTTTTTCCATAGGCAATGTTCAACACCTAAAACTGATATAACATTTTAAAAAAAAGATTTGATTCCAAACTGTAAACAAAAGTTTTGAAACTGGCTTAATCCAATTTTGAGACTGTTGTTCTGAAAATGAATGCAAATTAGAACATATATAGGCTAATTTGCATCTTTAAACACATATCTACACAGCCTGCTATTGGCATCAAGGCCCTATGACACTTTAACTTGTTCTGTGGAACTTATCCTGGTTGTTTTCTCCTGACTAGATCCTTGCTTGTGTTGTATCTGCTCTCAGATGTACGTCGCTTTGGATAAAAGCATCTGCAAAATTTGTAAAATTGTAGAAACTGTAGAATTGTAAACATAAATACAGAAAATTTGAAAGAAAAATATCATTGTCTTATTCTAAACAATCAGCTGCAGAAGCTGTTCACCTGTAGTGTCTCAGTTTACGACAGAGCACTTGAACCCTGGTGTTAACAATAATCTATGTATCAGCAGTGTAACCAAGCAAATTTACTCCAGTAGTATACAATAATGCTGCTTTAACTTTTTACTTTAGTACCCTAAGGAGGGAAATATTGTCCTTTTTTCTTCAGTATACCAGAGAGCAGTCTCCTATAACTGATAGCAGCTACGAACACATTATTAACACAAAACTATACTTAGATAACATAATATTATTACGGCTGCAAGGTGGCTCTGTGGTTAGCACTGTTGCCTCGCAGCAAGAAGGTTGCCGGTTCATTTCCCGGTGGGGGCACCCGATGGAGTTTGCATGTTCTCCCCGTGCAGCGTGGGTTCTCTCCGGGTTCTCCAGCTTCCTCCCACACAGTCCAAAAACATGTTGAGGTTAATTGGTGATTCTAAATTGTCCATAGGTGTGAATGTGAGTGTGCTTGGTTGTCTGTCTCTAAGTGTGGCCCTGTGATAGACTGGTTACCTGTCCAGGTGAACCTGCCTTCACCCTGAGTCGGCTGAGATAGACTCCAGGCCCCCCGTGACCCTAATGAGGATTAAGCGGTGTATAGATGATGGATGGATGGATGGATAATGTTATTACATTAGAAATGTAAATATTTAACCATATATAATGCACTTAAAATCAGCTCGACCTTTACTAGTTGTGACATTACTGTGAACATTTTAACCCGTGCATCAATAATTGTTATCACATACGGAAATAATCATAATTCTACAACGACTTTTAGTGTTTGTATCTCAACTTAAGTAACATTTTGACTGTAAGACTTTAACCTTTAACCATATTTCCACACTGTGGCATTGCTAACTGTATTTCACTAACATTTTGATTCCAGTATTTCTACACTGTGATGTTTGTTTATGTGAAAATTTAAAATGCAGGACACTTGCTACTTTTACTCAAATAAAACTTGGCAGAAATTCTTCCACTACTGCTCAGTCTTCAGAAATTGGTACTGTAGTTGAGTATTTTCATTCCCTACATTTTAGAGAGATATACAGGACAAAATACTTTACTTTATACTCCTAAATGCTTTATTTATCAGATACCTGCAGTGACTAGCTGCCTCACAAACCACATTTTTACATTAAATCAGCTTATTCAGGAGCAACGTTGGATTTCCAGGTGGGCACAACAGACGACCGTCTTGTTTCTTGAGGAATTGGAACATTAAAGTACATTTTCATGTGACACCACAAGTACCTTCAAGTGGGTCCTGATTTATTACCCAGTAAAGCTTCTCACAGCAGACTTATTTGGACCTGTCATAATAAGATAAGCAGCAAGCGGCTGCGCTCCACTTAAGTGTCCCTGTAAGCCAAAACAGTGTGACAGTGAGCAGACAATACCGGAATCAGTGAACCAACGCAGGTGAATGGAATTCAGACCTCATTAACTTTTATTATTATTTACAGCTGTTGATTGTATATTGTCAAAGATATCCGCTGTGGAACGTCTCAGTTAGAAGGAAAGTCTGTGTGTAAAATTGTGCTTTTTAATTGGATATTTGTGTGAATTTCAAAAACTAAGCCACTCAAAGCTAAATGCCAGAAAAAAATCTGAGTTATTTCTACCTGATCCAAAGCTTTGTCTTAACAATACTTGTGTTTTTCCTTTAGAAGGAATGTAGTTTGTAGGGCAGCACATCTCCTCCAGAGTTCAGATCTGATGAACTTTGCTATAAATCATGTTACATAGAGAGTGATTGATTCATTTCTTCATTAAATACTGAAATTATTTTATGACTTTATTGCATTAATCTTGCTTAGTTTTTTTTTCCTTTCCCCATCATAATCAATAAATGAACAAGTAAAAATAAGCGTCAGAGCCGTGTACATTTTGTAGGCTCAGCAGGAAACTTTTAAATAACACACTTAGCTGTGAGTTACAATCACATTACACCTAATGCAGTGGCGATGATTGGTCGGGTTATCGTGGAGTATATGCAGCTCTTAACAAGGTTATTATGTAACAGGATGAGGCCGAACTTCAACGGGGTCTGTTGTTTTTCTAAGAGAGAAGCACTATTGTTTGTACTTTAAGTGATTAAAGGTTGGATGTGCATTAGGCACCTAATAAACCCTCAACAGGAACACTACATAAATCACTCAGCAGCTGCTATTTGTTGCACAATCCATCTTCAGTTTGTGGTCTTTTTCCTGATGATGATGCCGAGCAGCTCGTGTAAAAGCTGCTCAGCAGTGAGAGGGAAGGAAATGTGTAGAAGATGAGTTAGGCAGCGTGATTTCTGGACGGCTGCACTGATAAAAAGGTAAATATTAAAAACTAATTGGACTCAATATACGGTTTCGTGTCACTATTTTCAGAGATGTTCGACTCGATCTCGCCTTGTCTCCCACACACTCTTTTTACATGTTTCAGATAATATTTTACACCCCAGGTACACTTCAGTTCCAGCTATCACCATTATTATTTTTGGATTAATTACCATTATTCAAATATTCACACTGACTTTTAACCATATAGAACACAGCACAAACAGCAGCTGCCCACACAAGAGAGAAGAGAGGTAGATAAATATAAGTTAAAGGGAAATTACATTAAAAGTAACCCAGAGGTAAAAAAACAGCCATAATAATAAAATATACAAGAGATAAGCATGCATAAATAATTAAATAGATGTGTAGAAACTGTATCATTTACATTGGTGGCCCAGCATTAGCGAAGTTTGGTCTCTAAAAATCTCTATTTTAAACTTAAAAATCTAAATGAAGTCTTGGTGCCAGTCCCTTTTCTTTTGTATTCTTGTGTTCAAACATCAATGAGAAGAGAATAAGCCATTCTTAGACAGGCACAGTATTTCACCCCCCAAACATGCCAAAAATAAAAATCAATGAGCAGAAGCCAAAGGGTCAACCAAACAGATCTCTCCTCGAAAAAAATACAACAAACAGTCACATCTTTAGGCCAAACCTGGATTTAACGACTACACGAGCAGACAGAGGGACTTAAAGACACCGAAAAATAATTATCCAACTTATCCGAACCGATAATTACAACTAAATGTGTTTGCCTCATTTAGAATACAGTCTAGTGTCAAAATGTGCAAAAAAAAAAAATCATTGCAAACCCGAACAAAACACGATTGTATTTTATGTAAATGACTGCCAAGAAAGATAATAAAACTGTGGTAACGATGTGGGAGTGTGTGAAGCCATGAAACTGTATTTTGGATTCCAATGACAAGTGTGGCAAGACTAAAAGAATATTACTGTATTATTATATTTCTATTTCAGTTATGCGGCATAAAAGGACTTTTTTTAAAAAAGAAAATGCAATATTTACACTCCACTACTCCTCTTTACTTCAGTTTGCAGATGAAGAATTAACACATAGAATATATTATTTTGCACAGGAAACAGTGAAATGCTGCTTTAACAACAGTGCAGCAACAAAAAATTAGCCGAATAATACATGTAATAAAACATTATGATTTACTTTTAACGCTTTAAGATATGAAAGTGGGAAATTTAACTTAAGATTAAGTTTAGTTTAGTTTATCTCAAACTATATATATATATATATATACAAAAATACAGAATAAGCAATGTGTTTATATTACACAAGAATTATTTAGAATTCAAGTACAATACTCAATAAAGGAGAAAAAAAAGCAGAAAAGAAGCTGATATCAACATAATAATGCACATACATACATGTGTAGACTTTTATCCAGTTTGAGAAGGAACAGAATGAAGCAAAAGCTTATCTACTTCTGCCCCTTCCTTATAGTGTCAAAAAGCAAACAAACTAATAAACAAAAAAAGAAAAACAAGACAAACTATAAGTCTTCTAAATGTGATTTAATTTATTTTTTTTTTTAAATCAAATAAACGCCGCTCAACATGCCATTGCTTTACTGTTGTTGTTTCTAACTTCACCTACGGCTGAAGTATCCAGAAGAATCTTGAAATTCATTCTGGGAAATGCAGCTATTTGAGAACGAGATCTTCGAGGTACAGCTGCAAACAGCAGTTCGTCTTGAAGTAAACACCGACTCATGACTGTGGACATCAGGAAACGATGATGCAGTGAGGACGGAGAGGTTGAGTTTTCCCAGAAGGAGTCGCTAACCTCCCGTAACTTATTGCTCTGGGCTTCTGGAACA